TCTGTTTTGCCTGTTGTGTGTCTTCTTGCCCAGTTGTCGGGATTCCAAGGTGTTGTTTATATGTTCTTGGCTTCAGCATCAAGGTGCTGCAGGTTTCCTTTTTCCTTCCATCTGGGAGTAGTAGCTCCCTCATTCCTCACCACGGCAGTTTCCAAGCCCATCCTGACCTCTTTGTAAAGCAGCCCCTCAGCAAATCCTGAGGATCCTTTAACGAGTTATTTCACAAAGAGCAGGCAGGGTGGAGACAGCTGAGCTGTTGTTTCTCTTCTTGGCCAGACTTCTCGGGAAGTTATTTTTCTCAACATAGAGATGAGATTACTGTTACTGAATCCAAGAAACCCGAACTGATTTAGTGACCTTTTGTGTCAGCTCTAGTTGGGATTTTTTTGTTGCATGTTGGCTGGTTGTTTCCTGGCAGGATGCAGAAAAATGTACCTTGGGAGACCTGTTTTTTGCCAAAAAGCACTGAAAGCCAAGCTGCTACTCTCATAATATTGAAAGGGCCTAGCATGGTTTCCAAGCACTCTGGAATCCCATGAGATGACCGTTATACTGGGATAAAGTATTGTCAGAGGCACAGATATAGAAGAGGAACAGTTATCTGTGTTCAGGTTGCAGTATCGAAATTGTCTCACTGAAATGAGAGGACTGAGTGAAATCAAAATTAAGTGACTTGGGCAGAGAGATTCAGGCAGTGCAGTGGATGAGACATGAGATTAGGGAATCCAGAAATCTGTAATTCAATTTTCTACACCACTTTGATGTTCAACCAGTTTGGGGCAGGGGGAGTGGAATAAAAGCCACTAAAAATCCCCAGAACAACTCACAACTTCTGTTGGACCGCTGTTCTCCTTGTACAAGATAAGAGGAATATTATTCATCTCCCTACATGGGTGGATGTTGCAGTATTTAGATGACTTATGTTTCTCCTTTGCGATGGGAAACAGAGCTCTGGAGTTCAAAGCTTTCAGCGCTGAAATCCTTCTTGTTGGCAATTCAAGCTCTCAGGAGGCCGTTCTTCCATCTCAATCATATAACAGCCAGAATGCATGCATTCATTCCTCACAGCTTCAAAATTTCACAAAATGGAAGTAAACTGAGGGTGAAAGAGGAAATGACACCAAACAAAATGGCAACAAGAAAATAATAATCCAGAAAGTCCACACTAGCAATGGAAAGTTCAAAAACAGTGTTGCCTGATCTGCTTCTAGTCTGAGTTTGAAGTCTGCTGAGAGGAGAGCTCTGGCAGGTGTGACTCACTTCACATTCACCTCAATACATGATTAGCAGTGAAAACTCACACTGACAATGTAATGCCACCGTTGTTTATGCCTTCATGGTGGCTCATCCTAGCAGAAAAATCCAGCAAATGCTCTTCCACGGTATAGTTGTATTTCATAATAGTTCAAAATAAAAATGATTTATTGTACAAGTAACCAGTAATCCTCAGGTTACCCTCTGCTTCCCTGTCTTGGCAAGGGAATAAACACCCATAAGTGAATGGTTGGAGGAAATTCAATAACGAATCTGTAGCTGTGGAGATATCAGCTGGCCAGAGAAGGACTTGGAAAGTTCAGTTCTTCAAGAATCACCACTCTTCATGGGACTCTACTTTTTAAGGCTTAAAGCTATTTTCTTGACTGAAAATAATTACTTCATGCAAAGTGGGATTTGTGTGTTTTAAGGACATCTTGCACTTGTTCAGAAATTGTAAGGAAATAACGTCTTGCCTCCACTTTCATGTTTTAATTAGCTGATATTTGCAGCTTGCTGAAAAATACTGAGGGAATACATTCCTGCCAGATGAAAAACAGCAATTCATAAAGACTGGAGAATCAGTCATGAGGTGTCAACATCTACCTTTAGCCTCTTGGACCATCTGGTCTAAGTAGATTTTTTGGCTCTCTTCTCAGTGGAAATAAACTGGTACCTTAAAGGTCGTTCGTTCTGTGCCAGTGCACATGTCCAGGGTAGGTTGAACCATGATCTGGGAGTGCCGATCTCCTCCTGCAGACAGTAGCCCGAAGAATGAGGTGCCCACCCCAGCTATCACCATTCAGAATGGTTCTCGACTTCCTGAGCAGCAGCCTTTCCCGCACAGTTTTGATCACTTCTTCCAGTTCCCACCTCACCTCCTGTGAGTTCAGAGTGGATAATTTCGTAGACTCATAGAATGGTTTGGGTTGGGAGGGACCTCAAAGCTCCCCCAGTCCAACCCCTGCCATGGGCAGGGACACCTCCCACCAGCCCAGGCTGCTCAAAGCCGCATCCAACCTGGCCTTGAACACTGCCAGGGAAGGGGCATCCACAGATTCACTGAATGTTCCAGTGTCTCACCGCTCTTGTCACAAAAAAATTCTTTATATCCAATCTAAATCTACACTCTCACAGTTTACATGGTTATCCCTTGTCCTATCAATTCATTTTTCTGAAGTACCGTCTGGATAGACGTTCTTGTCTCTCTCCACTGACAGAGAGAGAACTCCCTTTAGATGATCCATTTAGGCAAGACATCCGGAGCCACCCTTGGGTTTTCTGATAGACATAGCTTATACAGACACGGGACAGGTAGATCAACAGATGCAACAGTGGTGGCAGTTGTTTGGTCAGGGTATTTATCACAGCTATTAGGAACCGGTTTGATACTTCCAATTCATTTGCTACAGAGCACAGCGAAGCTTTCAGATGCTAATGAATTTCCATATATCCTTGCAAATTAAAGTGTTACCACTTTCTAATTATCATCTGCTAATAATGATCCTCTTCTACAAGCAATCTAAAGAAAAATTAAAACTCCAGCTTGTCAGAGCATTTGTTTTCATCTGAGTACTCACCAGTGGTTCTCCTTGGGAAAATGTTGTGGCAGAGAAATTACCAAGGAGCCTGCAATTAAGAGAGATTGCAGTGACAATCTGACACAATAGGAAGAAGGTTTCAGAAGGGACATGAGGGGAGGGGGCATCTCATTCATTTAGCACCACAAAAACAATGCAAAGTGAAGTAATTAATTTGCAGACAGATTGCTTCCTTCACTGTGTCCTGCTGCAAGTTTAAACAAAATCTAGGTTGTTCACTAAGTGTTCATGAGCTCAACAGCATTAAAAGAAGAAATTCAACCCTCCACAGTCTGTTAACATTTTGATTGTCAAATAATAACGTAAGGGAAAGCAGTAAAAATAGAGTGGTCTTTCCCTGCTAACACTCCAGATTCTTGTCATCGACATCTAGGGGACTTTCTGAAGAGGTTGCACCTGGACCTGCACTTAGATGCCACCATCAATTAGTCTAGAAACCTCCCTGAAAACCTAGATTTCTCCTACCGGACACCATGTGCTACTAATTTCCACAAATTGTTTAGCCAGAGAATAAAAAAGCATGGTCTTTTTGAGGCCAGATCATTGTTTTTCATTCTTTGTGCCTTTCCTAATCCATTCTTATCTTCTATGTCATTTCTTGACTATTACAGAGGATAAAGCTGATCTTTGCAGAAAACTTTTCACAGGAATTCTGAAATAGTTTTTACCTGTGAGCTATTTTACAGCTTGTCATTGCATATGGGTAGTTAGGCTTATTCCTTCCCCTGTGAATTCCTCTGTACTTATTGACATTGATTTTCATCTGCCATTTTATCACCATCATTCAGCATCCGGCCAGACAAGAACACTCCAAATTTGGATTCCTTCAGCACCTGGGTTTTTACTGAAAAGGGTTTTTTCCCCCTTTCTTTTCCCTATGTAGAGCTACATGGGCCGTACAATCACTTGTAGCAGTTAGTGTTCTACACCATACCCACCATGTCCCAGTAGGTATTTGCAGGGTGACGTTGTGCTGACACCTCCTCACACTACAAGGTCCTGACATTTCAGGCAAATGTCATTGCACCACAACTTTCTATCAGCACAACTCACTGGTACGCAGTGCCATGAGCTCTTGTTTCTTATGGGATCTCTGACTACCCAAGAGGTGCCAGCATGATTTCATAACATGTGTATTTCATATCTCAGAGCTTAACATTTGGATCTGCAGCACTACCTGAGTAGTGGTAGCAGATGTTTCCTCTCAGTAACTGTGAGATTGAGCTTTGAGCTGTGTGCTGAAAATCTTTAATTCCCTTATGTTCCTATGGAAACATGAGGGGAGCCTCCTGCCAAAACAAGCCAAGGCCTTTGGCTTTACATGTGTAACATGTGAATTACCAATTTCTGTGCCCATTTACAGGAGCCAACTCGCAGCACGGGAACTGTGCCATGATCAGAAAGGAAACACAGAAAGGTCCAATCTAACCTCTGCAATCTGCTGCAAAGACACTGCGAGATGCTTCTTTCCCTCTCCGCAGAAGTCATCCATCCAGAGACACTCTGTGGCAGAGCAGGGCTCCTCCCCGTAATTAGATCTGATTCCAAGACAATCAGCTAAAGTCAGAAAGGGATTGGAGCGGTTGCTGTGTGAGGGACATGTGCAAATGCAAATTTACGGCTCTGTCATGTGCAAATGGGAATTTAGGGCTTTGACAGACTGAAAACTCTGTTACCCTGCAGAACATCCTAGGAAATGCAAGGCAATTGAGATTGCTTAACCTCCGTGAAAGAGGGATAAGCAGAGGAGTACTCTGTGATAAGAACACATGCACATGCCATTGCCCTGGAGCAGGATGATAAGTGGTAACTTTGCTATCCCACTTTAACTTACTCGACTGTGCAAGCTCTTTGTCTAAGCTGGAATGCAAAATAAAGTTGTGCTCTATCAACTGATCAGAGCTGGCTTGAGAGCCAAAGTACATACAGGTTATTATTCCTGTAACTGGTTAATCAGACCAGCCATCAGACCTCAGCACTGAACACTGTGAGCGACTGTCAGCACACACTGCTGATAAGTCCAATCCAATACATATGGAACTAGCTAGGAGAGAAAATTCTGCCTCATTTAAAATCACATTATCCAGGCTGCCACCCTCCACTGGCTTTTGGCCTGTCACACAGCCTAATGGACAGGCGCCCTGAAAAATACTCGCTGTGAACCTAGGAATGGGTAAGAGCCTCTTGTGTTTGACAAAAGCCAATTAAGATCAACTAAATCTTCTATCATGCCTCTTCCGAAAAAGCACATCTACCACATCGCTTGTTGTATTCCTGGCTATCAAGCAAACACCAACAGATATTAAATAACTTGCTGTTTGGTGGGCAAAATAATTAGAGGAGCAGTAACCTTCAACAGCAGACGCCAGTGACAGATGACATGTGCCAGTATCCTGGATGACTCATTGAACAGGGCACCAGCTGGGGCACGGAGCTGACACGACAGGTGAAGACAACGTCCGAAAAGCTATGGATGCCAACGAGATGTTGATGCTCATACCACCAGATCCCTCCGCAGCTTCTGATGAAGTGCTGAGATACAACTGATGTGTTTATATTGCATAGCAAGAATAAATGGCCACCGCTGCTGTGGCTTCTCCTGTAGCATTCAGATGTGCATCAGGCTCCTGCCACTCCTCTTCGAGGTACTTATTTCATGGTCCTGCAAAGATCAGTCCTATCTTGGCATGAATTAAACACAGGTAGGGGAATGTAGGACTAGAAGCAATCTTTTGGGTCATTTAGTCCTGTCATCCATTATCTCAGCAATCCTGTCATATAATCTCCTCCAAAATTAATGAACTTCATATTAAAAGAAGCAGGTAATTTTTTTCTTCACTGCCCTAGAGGCTATTCTGAAGCCTCACTGCTCTGATGGTCAAATACCCAACCCAGGTCAAAATGACGCCCTTCAAACAGGGATATGCTGCAAAGAACTAAGGACAATGCTGGTTTTACCTCCTAGCAAAAATATGCAGCTCCCATCCAACTCAGTGATCTGAAACATCAGTTCTCTGACTCCTAATTGACTTTGACTCAACCGCTTGCAACCCTGTCTGAATGCCTTCCTTTACCTCAGCTCAGTGGAGAAGTTTGATTTTTCTTTCAAACAATGACTTAGTCCTGAGGTTTCCCTACCGTTTCTTGCAAGCTAAATTATCTTCTGTGGATTTCTGCGTGGCCAAATATGATAAGCTGGAGACACTCCAGTGCAGAGCCACTGAGATGATGAGGGGACTGGAGCATCTACCATATGAGGAAAGGCTGAGAGAGCTGGGGATGTTGTCTGGAGAAGAGGAGACTGAAGGGGGAATCTCATTAATGCTTATAAATATCTAAAGGATGGGTGTCAGAAGGATGGGACCAGACTCTTCTCAGTGGTGCCCAGAGACAGGACAAGGGGCAATGGTCACAACTGGAACACAGGAGGTTCAACCTTAACATAAGGAAAAGCTTCTTTCCTGTGAGGGTACCAAAGCACTGGACGTGGCTGCCCAGAGAGGTTGTGGAGTCTCCTTCTCTGGAGACATTCAAAACCTGCCTGGATGTGTTCCTGTGTGACTGCTCTGGGTGATTCTGCTCTGGCAGGGGTTGGACTGGATGATCTGCAGAGGTCCCTTCCAACCCTGACCATGCTGTGATTCTGTGATGTTTTTCCACATGTCATCCACCTCCATGGCTCCCAGCCCATGCAATAGAGTCCTGGCTGAAGGCCATGATTTTAATTGCCAAAGCAATCAGGAGATTAGTCCTTGCTACATGAAAATCTAAAATTTTTGATCTGTGAACTGCTGCATCTGTACTTCACAGCATAGCTCACAGTGGATGAAGACTGAGGGTAAATGTTTCAAACAAGGGGACCTGGCTGAAAAACAGCATTTTTGGGAGAAACACAGGATTTGCTTGCTTCTCAAAAACATTTTCAAAGCTTTCTGTCTGAAACAGGTTTTCCATCATTTCTGTCACCATGATGACAGCCAAAAAAACATTACAGTGAGGATTTATCTCACTGACTTTATCTCTCGACAGTATAAGTGTTTCCTGTGGATATATTTGCTGTAGTGTCCTTTTATAGTCAATGGGGAGGAGAAGGTGTTTCTAGAAGTATTTGTATAATCTCTTATGGATATCTGCTTTAGGGTGATATGAATGGCACTCTGGAATAAGTATTTCTCACCATGGATTGGAAAAGTTCCAGATACTTCCTTGGATGTACAATGCAGATGTCTGCTTTTTTGCCAAGTGTTTTCTACCCTGCTAGCAAAAGAAACCGAACAGGAAAATCCTAATATTCAAAAATTCATATATTCCAAGCCAAATTTTCACTTGTGTAGAAAAGGATGTCACAGGCTTCTACGTTCTTTTACTGTTCCTTTACATTCTTAGAGTGTCTTGAAGACACTCAAATATTATGTTGAGCAGCATTCTGCTACCATGGGGTAGATGAGACAGATGAGTCTATTAGTGTCTGTGGAGTTATTTTTAATTTATACTAGCATAAAAGAGAGGTGAATGGGGCCTTTGACTTCTTATTGCTCCCTTAGTCATGGGCTTTTCTCTGTGACCTTGTAAAATTGCTTTATCTGTTATTTCCCCGATACGTAAAATTAAGATGAGCATACTCACAGGCTGCTATGAGATCTAATTAGGAAGTGTAAAGCACCATGAAATCCTCTGATGGAATATGCAGAGTTTAGCTAGCTTGGGATAAAAAGGATTAAAGGAGGTTGTGCAAACATAACAAACACTTGAGAATGATGCTTAGGGGGAAGTGAAATGGCTGGTAAACATCTGCAGGTGAGGAAAAAAGAATCGGGCGTCTGTAACTGGTGGCAGCAGACCTCAACTCCACTGACAGGACTATGTCTACAAAGGAGGTTTGGTCAATGAAACAAGGTTCAGAATCAGGTGAAATACTATAGATTAGTAGGATTATCCTAGGAAAAAATCCTCCACATTTATCCACCTGGAATTTGACTGACCTGATGGATCTTTCACACCCTTTTTCATTGCCATTTCTGAAAGATTCACCAGTGTAACATTTTCATGGCATGGCTTAATAGTCACACCATGAGCAGTAGCACCATGTTTCTGAACATGCAAGACATGTAGTTATCAGCAAACCTTCTCCTTTCAGCAGTTCACTGAATGCCATGCCCTTTTCCAGAAGTGAGCAGGGATTTCTAAGTTGCATCATTTGCTAGTTGGAAGTGCCTTCAGTGGAATGGTACCAGTTCAAAGCTCTTGAAAAACAAGACTCCCACATGTCCAGTTCTCATCTCATCCCTTCTGGATGCCATAAAATATATTTCTCCCAACCAAACCAGAGGTCTTACTCTTACATCAGCATCAAACCAGACTCTGTCTTCCATTCATCTCCTAATTGTCAGGTTTCTGTTCCTTTCTGAGTTTCTGGCTTTTTTCCTCGCCAGGCATCACTGTGGACAAATTTGGGCTGATCTACTTTGTGGATGGCACTATGATCAGGAGGATTGATCAGAACGGGATCATCTCAACTGTGTTGGGCTCCAATGACTTGACATCTGCTCGGCCTCTCAGCTGCGACTCTGTCATGGACATTTCTCAGGTAAGACAGTGTTTTGGTTGGGTTTCTACAGAACAGAAGCTTATGCCTTCACCCTATCTGCATGTCTGTGTGCCTCCCCAGGACTGACAAAGAGTTAAGGGCTCAAGGAAATATGTACCTCTGTACATATTTTGTGGTATGAAAATGACTGGGTCAAGAAGAAAGATCCTATAAAGGCTGAAGGAAAGACCTAACTGACCTAGCTCATAGATCTCTGGGGACAGAGATTTCAAAGATGTCCCAGCCATAGAAGAGTTTTTTTTCAGAGCTCCCAATCAGCTGGGAGACAGAGATTCCTGGGAAGCCAGGTTTCATTAGGCTCATCTCTTAATAAACTAGTTGCTTTAAAATAAAAGACCAAGTGGCCATATTCATTTTAGCAGGACTATATGCCATGCTCTGTTACAACAACTTAGCTAACCATGGGTTTTTTCCTTTGCTTTCCCCCACCTTAACTTGGCCCGGCACAATTTTAGACCTGAATCAAATTAACATCTAGGAAATACTGATTGGAGGCTGTGGTGCCAAAATTAGCAACAGCAGGAAAACGAGAATCCTGAATTGCATCAGATTGCAAATTGGTTGCAGCTACCATCATGCTGGGCTTTTAAGTCCTGCTGCTTAGAGGTGGAGAGAAGGGGAAAAAAAAGGAGCGAGGAAAAGAAATCTGAGTTTGATGATTGCTTTACTCCTGGCTGGCGCAGAAGAGAAATCTCTTAAAGCCCAGCCTCGATTATGTCAGGCACTGGCCAACTTGTCAAACTGTGCCAGTTTCGAGATGGTGTCCTTTGAAACCTTTGTGCCACTTGTTGTTTGCCTGGCTGCAGGAACGTTGCCCTCTCCTATGAAAATATAGATCATAGCTGGAGGGCTAAGTGCTGTTATTCAGCCATAATAGATGTCAATGGGGTTTCCTTTTGGTAACTACCTAGATAATTTCCGCACTCCCATATGGAATCTGTTCTTCTTGGTTTTCCCTCTAATTTGAAATGATTATTCTTGCTTCTTTGCCACTGGTTCCCACTGTCCGCAATTTATGAACAAGCTGAAATTATGAGTTTAAAAGCCCTCATGCCTTCTATAGAAGCAAATTTTGCTGGTTAAAGGCCATCTTGTAGTATGTTTCTCATCTTACAGGCATAGTTTTTTTCTTTATCTGAATTTCAGGGGCAATTATCACAAGACCATTGTTGATTCAGGCTTTAAAAGTCCTTTTCTCGGAGGTTTTGTGGCTTGTGTATATACCACTGTCATAGTTAAACACTTCTGAGATGAGCTAAAATGTGTCAACTGAAGACTCTTTCTTTCCCTTTATAAAATGACAGAAGGCATTTGTAGATTAACCTGTACTGTGATGGGCAGATTAACTGGTACTGTTCTGGACAGATGTACTGGAGACAAGTTTAATAAAAAAAAAAACCAAGCAAACCAAGCAAACAAAACCCAGCTTGGGAAGTAGCTTTTCGTCTTTACAGTGGCTAGAAGGGTCTTTTCCGTCAGGTCCCTGAGGCTCCCTGGGACATGAGGACATGAAATATTAAGCTGCCAACGTTGACAAGGAATGGTTTTTAAGAAATTGAAAATTCCCTTGTCAGTTCAAAAACTCTGCCCTTGATGCTAACTCAAAGCTGCGGAGCTTAAAGACCACTGGAAGGGATGGAGGCATGCATTATTAAAGAGAAAACCGCAGGCTATAATGTTTTACTACAGGAAGGGTTAAAATAGGCCAAGAGCTGTGAAAAGGAAGGAGATTTTGCAAATAGTGAGACTAGGCAGAGCTCAGCATGCTGCTTAGCCATGAAAATGAGCTTCTCAAGGAAGGCGTAATGAAATAAGTACCTTTCATTGGATGCTTTAAAAAAATTGAAAAGGAACTTAAACAAATAGGACCATTAAAAGTAAAGCATGGCTGTGGCAGAGATGTTCAACTATAGGCTTTAGATCTTACCTGGTCTTGTTCCTGGTTTTAAATAAAGCCACAGTTAGAGATGGTTTGTTGGACTTCAGCGCAGGCTGGCATCTACTCCTTCTTCTTCCCATAAGATTGCCACATTATAGATGCAAAATACCTACCCAAAACTACAGCCACCATACCAAGCAGCAATAATTAGTGTTTCTTTTACCCTTTCTCCCTTTAATCCATATTGAAGCATCTTAATTTGATTAATTTATAACAATCATGCAGTGGAAAAAGGTCCTGCTATAATAATTTCCTTGTGCTGTTTGTCATTAAGGTTCGTCTAGAATGGCCCACGGATCTGGCAGTCAATCCAATGGACAATTCACTCTATGTCCTCGACAATAACGTTGTGTTACAGATATCTGAGAACCACCAGGTGCGCATCGTGGCGGGAAGGCCCATGCACTGCCAGGTGCCAGGCATGGATCACTTCCTCCTTAGCAAGGTGGCGATCCACGCCACTCTGGAGTCTGCTACTGCCCTGGCCGTCTCCCATAATGGGGTCCTGTATATTGCTGAGACCGATGAGAAAAAGATCAACCGTATCAGGCAGGTCACCACCAATGGAGAGATTTCTCTCGTTGCCGGTGCGCCAAGCAGCTGTGACTGCAAGAATGATGCTAACTGTGACTGCTTCTCGGGGGACGATGGCTATGCCAAGGATGCCAAACTCAACGCACCGTCCTCCCTTGCGGTGTGTGCAGATGGAGAGCTGTACGTCGCTGATCTTGGAAATATCCGAATCCGCTTTATTCGGAAAAACAAACCATTCCTCAACACGCAAAATCTGTATGAGTTATCCTCACCCATAGACCAGGAACTCTACTTGTTTGACACTAGTGGTAAGCACCTTTATACTCAAAGCCTTACCACTGGAGATTATCTTTACAATTTTACGTATTCCGGAGATGGAGATATAACCCTGATCACTGACAATAATGGCAACTTAGTTAATATCCGGAGAGATTCCACAGGGATGCCCCTGTGGCTGGTAGTGCCCGATGGCCAGGTCTACTGGGTGACAATTGGTACCAACAGTGCACTCAAGAGCGTAACGACACAGGGGCATGAAGTGGCCATGATGACTTACCACGGCAACTCCGGTCTCCTTGCCACCAAAAGCAATGAAAATGGTTGGACAACGTTTTACGAGTAAGTATATTATGGATATTGTGCTGCTGACTTCATTCTGTGCTCTCTGAACTATGTAAGGTTGGGAGAATTTAATTCCCCAAACAGAATTATTGTCCAAATAAAATGACCAGAACAGAGAATATTAGTTCTAACACAAACACTTCACACTAGAATTAAGTGCTTTAGAGTTTGGATAAACTCCCTCCACCAAGTCAAGATTCAGAGTTTCTGCTGAGATTTTCTAAATCAGCTAATTTGGGCACCTGGTTCCCCTTAACTGTAGTTGGGACTGGGGAATTAGGCTGTACGTCAGAGAATTTTGCTTGGCTGTGAAAACCTTGGAAGTTTGAAAGTTCCATCAGATCTTCTTTTTCACAGCTTTTCACCTACTTGCTATGCTGCAGTGTCTTATTTGAGCTTGTTTGAGATGGCTGATGTGGAATGACATCTGGCAATGACTAATGCCAGCTTGCTCCGAAAATGATTCTGTAATTAATGGGCTGCTCGGTTTCTATTGTTGTAATTGGCCTCAAAAAGCTTTAAAAATAGTCTCAAATCTGTTCAAGACCCTCCCTGCCCATAGAGTTTTCTGAGCAGTGAGAAGAGAGGATGCATTGAAAAGCCCAGAGATAGCAGTGACTTGAAGATTTGTGCTACTTTTTTGTATTACTGTTAGCAATTCCCTGCTTATAAATAATATGAAGACAACACAGTTCTGATATCAAATAGGAAAAAGATAGATAACTGAAAGAAAGGCATCTAGAAGGATGGTCTTCCAATTCATCCTGCTGTTGAGACCCCTTCCCCTCTCTCTTTCTTAGTTTCATTTTTATTTTCAAGTGTAGCCTCTTTGAAATGCTCCTTTTAGTGTATAATTTCCCATATTGTTTCAATGGTTGCATGGAAGTGTTCAGCTACCAAAATAATAGACCCATTGTAAGAGTCCAATTTGGCTAGAATAGACAGTTCCTGAGATTACAAAGAAAAAATATGTTAAAAAAAGAGTCTCGGGGAAGGAAAGCTGGCTAAACCCACATATTCATGTGTCAGACTTGCAGTTGCTTTAGTTCTTTTTAAAATGTTCCAGGCCTAGTTTCAAATTTCTTTGCTTAATACTCACTATTACTGCTCCTGCCTCGAACAGAACTGATGGGAACTCTGTGATGAATCTTTTGAAAGGTTATTTGCATTCCATCAATGTTCTGCTTGCAATTACTATAGCAATCTTCCTCCGTGAGTCAAAGTTAATACCCTTCGTTCTCTTACGTTGAATTTGCTTGAGGGAGGCTTTAGGGAGGAAAGATAGGGTGTTTTTCTCTATAGGAGTGGAAGCCTGCTATATTGTCAGGACCATTGTGCTAAATCAAGGAGATATTTTCTTTTTTGCAAAGAACCCAATACTTCCTATGCTTGGAAACAGATGTAGCCATGGACAGTGAAGCAAACTAAACATTACAGCTAATAATGGTCAGATTTATACTTCAAACATGTTCTTTTATTTAAAAGTGTGACTGAAAATATAAAGGAGAGAAAATGAGACTGAACTTAAAATCCAACTTACTCTGTGGATATATTTATAACAGTGATTCATTATTTCTTGCTATCCACAAAATAGAGCATTTGTGAAAGTCATCATTCTGGTCCTTTTATGCACTTCAGAAGAGTCATAAGGAAGCTTTTTAGAGCTAAATGGAAGACAGTATTCTCCAGGGGTTAGACTATGGAAATCTTGACTAGAGCAAGTCAGCACTATGTGATAGCACAGCATCACTGAAAATAGAATTGGGAATGTGTCTTCAGAGATACCTCATCCAAACCTGTGATCAGTTATCGCTATTTAACTGTTCCTGACAGATTCTGATGCAACTTTATAGAACTACAGAGTAAAAGTCTGTATCTGAATTAGTTACCTCAGCCTCCCTTTATAGGCAGTGGAGAGAACAGGCACTTTCAAGGTGAGTTTCTTATGGGTTATGTCAGGTGTCTACTTCAGGATGAGACAAGTTGTATTCTGAAAGTTTCTCTCTGTAAAGATAGTCCAGAATGATAAGCTCAGATATAGATGTTCACATTGCAGATGTCTACAATTTGATCATAGAATCATAGACTCATTGAGTCACAGAATCCCAGAATGGTTTAGGTTGAAAGGGACCTCAAAGCTCACCCAGTCCAACCCCTGCCATGGGCAGGGACACCTCCCACCAGCCCAGGCTGCTCAAAGCCCCATCCAACCTGGCCTTGAGCACTGCCAGGGAGGGGGCATCCACAGCTTCCCTGGGCAACCTGTGCCAGTGTCTCACCACCTTCATAGTGAAGAATTTCCTCCTAATATCCAGTCTAAATCTCCCCTCTTTCAGTCAGAAACCATTACCACTTGTCCTATCACTACATGCCCTTGTCAAAAGTCCCTCTCAGTGGGATCCTCAGCATAAATCCACGGCAAATCTGTCTGACTTATCACTTGGATGGACAAACGAAATTAATACATTGACTTATCCGACTCTACTTGTGGTGGGTAGTAGGAAGCTGATTTTACCCTTATACAGCACTGATGGGACTAATACCATCAGTTCTGATGTTTGCAGCTTATGAAGGACAGTGAAAATTGAAGGCTGTGCAGAAAAACACTACAAAAATGCATTTGTGGGGAGAAAGTGCTTTATGCTGGAGAAGTAAGACAACTTGATTGATTTATCTTAACATGAAGAAGACTGGGAAGTGTCTAGATCACAGCATGTCAGCACAAAACTATCACCTACAGAGAGACTCTCAATAAAGCAGAGAAAGTCTTGAGAAGGGTAAGGAGCTGCAAAGCAAAGCTAGAGACATTGAAGTTGACAGGAAGGTGTGATTTCTTAAGGCTGAGGTTACCTAAGTGGTAGAGCAACCAACCTTGAGAAGCAGTGTATTCTCCGTTTCTTCGTATCTTAGGTCATGACTCTGGATGCCTTTCTTAAGATATATTCTCACCAGAGAGAAGATGTGCGTGAGTCAAACACAAACTGCAGGCAGGAATG